AAGGAAGGCAGGCAGGCAGGCAGGCAGGCAGGCAGGCAGGCAGGCAGGCAGGCAGGCAGGAGGAAGGGGAGATGGAGAGAGTCATGGCCGGATGGAGTTAGGGAGACCCTGAAAAGGAAGAAGCACAAGAAAGAGCCATGGAGGAAGCAAAGAGAGTTTGCAGGAGAAAAAGGGTTACAGCGAGTGCAAACTCATTTTAGCTGTATTTCTTTTACTTGGTTCTCATATCCTGCCTGGAATTCCTTTGCGCTAATATTTCTTACTCCGCGTCCACATCCTGGTTGTTTGCTAACCTGAAAGGGAATGCCGCAGAGAGAGGAAGAGAAGCGTGTATGTGCTGAAACTCGTAACAGGATCATGGTAGGGTTCAGATCAGGCTGGAGCTACGTAGCATTTTTTGTAGGAACTCATGATCTACCCCGAGTCTCGCAGCCTTCCTACAAACTGATTGGCTCTGGACCGTCCAAACCTTCCGGCTTTCCACAATAGAGTCCTAATTCTCACGTTGCTTTTCTCAAAAAAGAACTTCCGTGCATTTGGTTTATATGGTAGGAGGTTCTAAATGGTCTCCTGGCAGGATTCAGGGAATTGAGGGGGGGACCCAATCCCGTCTTCCAGCTACCACTACCCCCAGACATTTTCATTAACTGGCACCTACAAATATCTTTATTTCAAACTTTGAAACAATGCTGTGTTCCCAATTTCAATGATGTTGCTTTAGTCCCAAACTCCCAGTGTAGAAATCCTGGGAAGGCCACTGAATGTATATTTTGAAAGCATTTTATAGAGTGAGTTATAAACATGGGGTGGGAAGAAGGAAAATGGTGGGAACCAACCGTCAAAGCCGTTTCCTCGTCATGAATCTGAACAGGCGAGTTCACTGGAGAAGTTGCAGGTGGGTCCAGCGAAGCTGGAGAGTTTTGGATGTTCCATATGGACATGGGGTACAACTGATTCACACCTGCAAAATGCACCCCAGGACAGCTCAGTAGGCAGGCTGCATCTGAACGTGACTTGTTACCAGCCCCAAGTCTGTAACAATGAAATTCACCTTGGCAGTGAAACAAACAGGCTAGGTGGGTTCACATAGTACGCTAAACTCCAAACCTGGGTTAACAAGACAGAAAAACTTGGCTTCCGTAACAAGCAACATCTATATAAAACCTACAATGGCTTAAGATAATGCTTGCTTCACACCACATACAAAGACACACCATCATGGCTAGATTCCCACAAACTGCCCACCCAAGCAGGGGAGGAAGGCTGGTGGTGTGTCCATGCAGAGACTCCTGGCAGCACCACAGGGAAAGCCGGGCGACCAAGGTTCCTCTTTCACGAGTCTGAGCAGAAGCATATGGAGAAGAGTCCTCTGGAGCATGGGATCAGGGCATGCAATGGGCTCCTATCGCCAGCACGTTCCTGAGGACAACTGAATACATTTGCACCCTCTTGCAAGCACAATAAAAAATAAACAGCAGGCACACAAACAGGGGCCAAAGAAAGCTAGGAACATGCCTGGCTAGTCACTTTGAGACCTCAGTGCTCGTCCCAAACATCAGACAAAGCCAGATCGACTGCCTTCAGATGCGAACCCCTCCCCCCCATTTTGGGATAACGCACCCAGCCCCACGCCAGCTGCACAGCACAAACAAAGGCACCTGGCCCTCAACGCATAGGTTGCTCTCTGAGTTCATGGCTTTCCTTTCCAAGAGAGAATGGGAAGGAGAAAGCATGCAGAAGTTCCCTTGGGTCACCTCCTCTGCTTCTCCAGAGGGCAAAGATGCTCCTGATGGGGCATCAAGGATGTCACTCCAGTCTCTTGGATGAACTCTGCCTAGAGAGGGTCTTTCCCACAACAGGAAGTACCCCTGCGAAACGGAATTCCTGGACAGGAACAGGACAACTGCAGGAGTTCATCCATAAACACGTCTTTCATGCTTCACTGGGTTCTTCGGGGCCAGGGAAGAGATGCCTTTCTCTGGAGTCTTCAGAAAGCCGAGCACAGAACACAGGTAGGTCGGCACCCGGGGGTGACTGTACAGGGCTAGGCTGGGGGCCTTAGTGTGGCCCAGGGCCCCACCTTACCCTCTGGGCCAGCCTTTCTCAAGTGGGATTCCACAAGAAGCCATAATTAAAGAGAAAAAAAATCATTTTTCTAACTTTGCACCCCATAATGTTAACACTCACACTGTGGGAGGGTTATATGTGCCGCGACTCAGTTAACTAATGTACCATGAGCTGTAGATACGGTCATTTTTACGCAGTGGTTCGCTGACACCTGAACATTATTTCGAGGGAAATAATTTCCAGGCAAAAATGGCCAAGAACGGCTGCCGTATGTGGCTCAATATCCAGGGGCGGTCAACCGGAGCTTCCAAGCGCTGTGCTTCCGGCTGTCCAGCTCAAGGCTCCCCACCGCCCACCCCCAGCCAAGAAACCGCATCCTTCAACACTGCCTGCACTGGACCACGTGCTGGGTGAGGGCGAGCAAACAGAATTAAACCCCCAAGCCAGAGTCAGCCGGGCAGCAGCCAGCCTCCAGAACTAGGACTCAGCCTTTCTGGATGGGGGGCAACCCAACTGGAAGAAAAGACTCCTGTGGCGCTCCTTGACCCCAGGAGGGAAAGGCTCCACGTGTGCCAGGTGTGACCGCTGAGTTTCCCGGATCTGGTGTACCTGACCACAGGGAGTCCCTGGGTTAAGAATGCCCAGTTCATGGACAACCCATAGTTAAGGATGGAACCTAGTGCAGCAAAATTCGAATTAAATACACAAAGATTCGAGTTCATTACACAATACTACTTAAACAGGATTATACAGTAACACTGTTCTGACTTACAAATTCGACTTAAGGACAGACCTTGGGAACAGAACTTGTTCTTAATCTGGGGACTATTTATTTATATTTATTTATTAAATTTGTATGCCACCCATCTCCCCCAATGGGTGACTCTGGGCTGCTCACAATTAAAGTAAAACCCATAAACAATTAAAAAATAAAAATTAATTAATTAATTAATTAATTAATAAGTCAAGCTATAAAAACAAACCCTATACATAAAAACTAAAAACATTCAAGATGACGGGGGAGTAAAATCAATTACCCCATGAGCCATTTCCACTGGTGCGAGCCCCCATCCGGCCCCCAGGCCATCTGGCCTAGCAAGAATTTCACGCTCTCCCTGAAGCCCATGAGAGTGGGGGCACACCGCACCTTGGGTGGTAGGTTGTTCCACAGAGCAAGGGCCACGGCAGAAAAGGCCCTCTTCCTATAACCCACCAGTCAAATTTCCTTGACTGGTGGGGTCTGCAACGTGCCCCTTCCGCTTGTATTTCCACGCACAGTACACTGGGGGAGCTCAACTGGGCCCAATCCAGGAGCACAGTGCTTTTATGCCGATAGACCTTCACTGGTTGCCTCTGTTTTCTGGACCCTGCGGTCAGCAGGAGGTCCTCTCAAAGACGCCCTTCCCTTACAGCGTGTGGTTGCGGGGCAGGCGAGACTGCTCCCTGTTGCTCCCAAAGTGAGGGACATGGCTCGGCTTCCACCCTCCCTTCTTTTAGGAAGAGAATCCCATCAGCCTTTCCCGTCTGAGTTAGTTTAAATTTGGGGGTTCTTGGTTTTAGGAAAAGTTGACTTTGGTGCAGAAAGACTGGGTATAAATGGTAACTGTAAAAGTAAAAGGAAGTACCTGGGGGGTCCTGCACGTGGCTCACAGGCACTTCTGGGGTGGCCAGCCGACTGCCTGAAAGAGAGCACAAGCCTGTTAACTCTCTTCCATGGCTCCACTGCGAGAAGAAGTCTGAGCATGAGTAAAAAAAAAAATAATATAAGCACATTCAGCCTTTGCAAAACACATTCAAAAGAGTTTGCTCACCAAACCGACTTCAAAGGGCTTTTATTCCCTCCAACTGAGGGCACCTGCCGAGATGCCAACGTGGGGTTTTCTAGCAAAAAGTCGAATTAGCCCAGTCGGTCCAGGCTTACCAAAAATAAAGCCGGCACACAGAACGCCCACTTGAGGGCCGGGTATTCAGGGGTGGGGTGGGGTGGGGTGGGGTGG